AAACTAACCGTTAGAGGATCTGCTATGTTAAAATAGAAAGCTGTTTTTTAATACTCTTACAGAAGAAGGAAGTTCTTCTGGGCATTACTGGCTGGCTAGCATTTATTGCCCTTCCTGAGTTACCCTTGAGAAGGTGGGAGTGAGCTGCCTCTTGAACCATTGCAGTCCATTTGGTGTAGGGATGTCCACAGCTTTGTTGGGAAGTGAGTTTGAAGATTTTGACGCAACAACAGTAAAGGAACAACAATATATATTTTTCAAGTCAGGATCATGACTGATTTTGGAGGGTTACCCGAGATTAATCATGTTCCCATGTATCTGCTGCCTTTGCCTTTCAAGATGGTAGAGGACATGGTTTTGGAAGGTGCTGTCAAAAGAACCTTGGAAAGTTGTTGGAGTGCATTTTGGAGATGGTACACACTTCTGTTAGTGAGTATTAGTGATGGAGGGCGTCAACACAAGAAATGGAAAAAGAAAAACAGGACTAGGCTATTGAGTTGAATGATCAGCCATGATCGTGATGAATGGCCAAGCAGGTTCGAAGGGCTGAATGGCCACCTCCTGTTCCTATCTTCTATGTTTCTGTTTCTGTTTTTATGTAAACCGTACAGCCTGGCCTGTTCTGCCTTCAATATATCATGGCTGATGTTGATATAAGCTGTACTTCCCCACCTATTCTCCATATCTCTAGAGGCCCAAAGAGACTAACATCTGTTTGTCTAAGCCTTAAATATATTAATTAATGGCATATCCACAGTCCTTTGGGGAGAGAATTCCAAAGATTGCTAACTCTTTGAGTGAAGAACTTCCTTCTTCTGTCGGTCCTAAGCAATCATCCCCTTATCCTGAGACTGTATTCCCATCTTTTAGATGCAGGAACAATCTCTCAGCATTGACTCTATCGAACCCCTTCAGAATTTTGTATATTTCAACAAGATCACCTCTCATTCTTCTAAACTCAGGAGAATATAGAGCCTCTGCATTCACACTTTCGTTAGAGGCTAATACTCTCATCCCAGGGACCAATTTAGTAAAACTTCACTGCACTGCCTCCAATACTAGTGTACCTTCCTTAAAATTAAACACAGTATTCCACTTGTGGTATCACCAAACCCCTGCACAGTTGTATTTGGATTTCTTTACTAATGTACTCCAATTATCTTGTAATAAAGATCGACATGCAGTTTACCTTCCTATTTACTCATTGGACTTGCATGCTAACTTTTTGCATTTTTCAAGCATACCCGTCCCTTTGAACATCATGTATAAGTTTGATACCTTTTTTAAAATCAAGATGGATAATTTTACACTTACCTACAATATACTCCAAATGCCATCTTGTTGCCCACTCATTTAATTTGTCTGTATCTCTTTGCAATTTCTGGTTCTCCCACAGCTTACCTTTCCATCTAATTTGTATCATCAGCAAACTAAGTCATTAATATAGATTGTAATTAGCTAAGGCATCAGAATCAATCCTTGTCACATTCCACTATTTGCAGCCTACCAACTCAAAACAAAAAGCCCCATTTATGCCCTCTGTCTGTTAACCAATCCTCTAATCATGCTAATACATAACCTGCAACTTCACGAGCCCTTTTTTTTTGCTTATTAATCTTTCTAACACCACCTTGAATGTCTTTTGGAAGTCATATATACTGGTATTCCTTTATTTGCTCCACCAGTAGCATTCTCAAAAAACTTGAACAGCTATGGCAGCCAGGGAAACCATGTTGACTTATTGATCTATCCTTTTCTAAGTCATTGTAAAGACTTCCTTTCATAATAACTGTCAGCATTTTCCCAAAAACTGATGTCAGGATAACTGACCTGCTTTCTTTCTCCCTCCTAGAAAAGCAGTGTAGCATTTGTCAACTTTTAATGGTTAAGATAATACTTGAAACTGAGGAGGTCTAGAAAATTATAGCTGGTGTATCCTTGTCCCTGCAGCTATCTCTTTTAGTACCGTAAAGTGTAGGCTGTCGGGTCATGGAGGTTTGGACTTCTGTCCCTTGAGTTTCTCCAATACTTTTCTCTATTGATGTTAATTTCCTCACTTTTTAGCTGCTAGGTTACTATCTATTTCCAGTAATGAATCGGTGAAGATAAATACAAAATGTTCATTCATGTTTCTCCCTTTTCCGCATTCCCGATGATAATTGCTCCTGTCTTTGTTTACTTCCATTGTTTACTTTAGCTACTCGCTTTTTTTATATATCCCTCTAAAAGTTCTTACAATTTGTTGTCATACTTCTGATTAGTTTACTGTCCTATTCCATTCTTGCTCTTTTCATCAATTTTTGGGACCCCGTTGCTGGTGTTTTCAATCCTCAGACTTCCTACAGTTTTTCATGAAATCTTGATCCTCCTCTTTTAAAATAACACTATCTTTAATTGTCTGATTGCACTGCAATGGGCCTTCTTTGTGGAGCTTTTATTTTTAAATGGAATGTATTTTTGTTGGACATTTTGAATTATTTATTTAATATTTCCTACTGTTCAATTACTGAAAATCTTTATTTAATTTACCCATTGAAACTTGGCCAGTTTCCCCCTCATACATAGGCATTTGGCTTTATTTAGATTTAACATTCTTGAGATTGGAGTATTCAAACTTAACAAGTAATTCAATGATGTCCTGATCACTATTCCCCAGTGGATCTTTTGCTGTTACTAACACTATGACATTACTAATTAACCCTGCCTCACCACACAATACTAGATCTAAGCCTTAATATAAGCTGGTTCCACAATATATTATAAGCAACTGTTGTTGTGTATTTTTAAGTTGGTGGATGGAATACTGATCAAGCGGGCGATTTTGTCTTGGATGGTGTTGAGCTTCTTGAGTGTTGATAAAGTTACATATATCCTGGCAATCGGAGAATGTTCCATCATGTTCCTTTCATGTGCCTTTTAGTCAATGGACTGGCACTGGAGGCCAGGAGGTGAGTCAGAGCAGAATTCCCAGTTTTGACCTACAGTTGTAACCACAGTATTTATATGGCAGGTCCAGTTCACTTTCGAATCAGTAGCAAACCCCCAAGATGTTAATAGTGGGATATTCAGTGATAGGAGTACCATTGAAAATGAAGGAGTAATAGTTGGTTCACTCTTGTTTGAGGTGATCGTTGCCTGGCATGAACATTACTGCCATCTCTCAATCTAAGTTTAAATATTATCCAGGTCTTGCTGGATTCTGGGCTTGCGCTGCCTCAGTGTCTGAGAAGTCGTGAATGGTGCTGAACATTGTGCAACCATCTGCAAACATTCCCACTTCTGACCTTATAATGAAAGAGAAGGTCAATGATAAAGCAGCTGAAGATGGTTGGGCCGAGGACACTACCCTGAGGAAATCTTGCAGAGATGTCCTGGAGCTGAGATGACTGAGCTACACCATCAACAACCATCTTCCCATGTTATGACTCCAACCAGTGGAGAGTTTCTTCCTTGATTCCAGTTTTATTAGAGTGCCTTGATGCCACACTGGATCAAATATGGCCTTAATGTCAAGGACAGTCATTCTTTCCTTGCCTCTGAAATTCAGTTGTCTTGTCCGTGTTTGGACCATGCATCTACTGTCCTTCCAGGTGATGCAGGTCATTGGTTTGAAAGGAAAAACAGAAAGTGCTGGAGAAATGCAGCAGGTCTGGCAGTATCTGTAGAGAGAAACACAGTTAATGTTTCTCACCCAATGACTCTTCAACTGAACTGTTCTGACAAAGCGTCACTGAACTCAAAATGTTAATTTTGTTTTTCTCTATGTAGATGCTGCCAGACCTTTTGTGTTTCTCCAGCACTTTGTTTTTGTTTCAGATTTATGGAATCTTTGGTTTTATTTTATGGACATGAAAGATCTGAGTTACGGGAAGGAGAGATCACTCCAAGTTGCAGATGCCACTCTTGGCTTTTCAGGTAATTAATGTGCATGGTCTGTACTGTTCCGGTAAAACGCAGCAAAGATCAGCCCCTTAGCTGAGGGGTAGGGGGCTTATATTTCCTAAGAGACCCAGATTGTTCCATTTACATTGTTGCTGCTGTTGTTATTATTGTCTTTATTTTGATTTTTGCATTCATTTTTCTTTAGTGTCTGTATTTCAGTGTTTGTGCGCAGATATGTTAGTGCAGCATTATTCCACTTCCACTTTGATTAATGGTGCTAGCATGTTCCTGTCATTGCAGGATTCACTGTGTTGTTTGTTGTTTAATTTGAAGTGTAAAATTGGACCAGGAATCTAGTGGAAATATTAGTGATTGAAAAGTAGCAAGAGATTTTAAATTGTCGAAACGTAGAGTATTAACATCACTGAAGGAGGACACTTTTATGCATATGTGCATTGGTCAATAAAAAAGACACCCAGCCTAATCTCACTTCATAACATTTCATCTGTAGCCCTGCAGGTTACTAGACTTCAGATATATGTCCACACACCAATTAAATGAGCCAAAGGTTGCTGCTTTTTCAGGCAGACAGTTCCAGATCCCTTATCCTCACTGGGGAAAATAAGTGTCTTCATTTTCACTCCAATCCTTCTGCCAATTACATTAAATCCGTGCTGCTTAATCACTGACTTCTCCTGCTGAAATAAATACCCCCTTCCCATCCACTGCATCCAGGCCCCTTACAGTTTTGTGCATCTCAATCAAATCGCCCTGTCAGCCTCCTTTGTTGCAAGGAAAACAATCCCAGCCAGTCCACTCTTTCCTCATAGTGCCATTTCTTCCAATCCTGGCAACGCCCCCTTAAATATCTTCTTCGAAATAACTGCTTAGAATTGTGGAGATTTTTATTTGGAGCTCTTTCTGTCACCAGAACTAAAAACATGTTTTCAGAAATTACTCTGAATTATCAGAAACCCAGTTACTTTTCCTAACACTCGTTCAATATTTGATCCTGGGCCTAACTCAGTACAGTTCATGTACAAACAGTCTGACTGGTGGCGAGAGGCTGTGCTTCTCATTCTGTCTGTTTGGTAAATGTTTAATTTTTCTTTTAACAGGTATGAAAAATGAGTGTGGGACGCAAAAGGACAAAGCTGGTGGGGATTTTGATGATGGTAAACTTCTTCATTTATATAGTTATAGAGATTTCACGCAGTGGCCACCAAGAAAGAAACTCCAGCAAAAAGGTCATCATTTCTAACAGTGTCTTTTGGAAGCCATTGGTGCATATTAAGCCGTACTGGAATCGAGAACAACACAAACTGGATGAGTTATACAACCCTGTTACTGCTGCTCTCTATAACCGAACTGTGATGGACAACATAAACATGACAACAATGTACACATGTGAACCTAACTTTCGGTTAAAGGATGAGATCAGTAATTTTGATTCTTTGCCGGATCGTTTCAAGGATTTTCTAACCTACCTGCGATGTAGGAGCTATCCATTAATAATTGACCAACCAGCTAAATGCCAGAATAACCCTGTACTGCTGTTGGCTATAAAGTCACTGGAATCACACTTTGATAGAAGGCAGGCCATACGTCAGTCATGGGGTAAAGAAGAAATTATAGGGAATAAGACAGTGGCTAGGATCTTTTTACTGGGAAAGTCGTCTCCGGCAGATGATTTTCCTAACCTCTCAGATATGCTAAAGTTTGAGAGTAAACAACACAAAGATATTCTTTTGTGGGATTACAGGGACACATTCTTTAATCTAACTCTGAAAGAAGTGTTATTTCTGGAATGGGTAAGCAAATCATGCTCTGATATTCAATACATTTTTAAAGGAGATGATGATGTCTTTGTGAACACTGTACAGATTCTGGAATACTTGAACACTCTGGACAAAGACAAAGACAAAGCCAAAGATCTGTTTGTTGGTGATGTTATTACAAATGCAGGGCCTCATCGAGAGAAAAAACTAAAATACTATGTTCCAGAGAGTATATACGAGGGGGTGTATCCTCCTTATGCTGGTGGGGGTGGGTTTCTGTACTCTGGATACTTGGCAAAGAGACTTTATAATGTGTCACATAAAGTAACACTCTATCCAATTGATGATGTGTATACTGGAATGTGCCTTAAAAAACTTGGCCTTGCTCCAGAAAAGCACAAAGGTTTCAGGACTTTTGATATAATGCAGAAAGACCGACATGTTACCTGTGCATATAAAAACTTAATATTAGTCCACAGCAGAAATCCTCAAGAAATGATAAGAATTTGGAGCAGGCTGCAGGATCCCGAGTTGAAATGTTAACCTAAAATACTGGAGGAGGAAAATGGTTGAGAGTTGAGGCCTATTTCTAATGGTTATAAAAGGTTATCTTATTTGCACACATATTGATGTTACAATGCTAATAAGCTGTGAGAAAGTGTATGTCAGAGCCTACCCCCAGTAACAGATCTGGGAGAAGCCTAATGGGTCCAAAGGATTCTAGAAATCCCTAGGTGGTGTCAATTCTGTTGGTCAGATTTTCTTATTCATCCTACTGAACATACAGAAATGTCTTGGACTCTGCAGTTTGCACTGTCTCAAATGTAACTATCTTCCAAAAAGGATACTTTCCATTCTCCATCAAAGGAAATCCTGGGAGATGATTATGGATCCAATTAAAATGAGCTCTGGTAATCATGACAACAGGGGAGATCAGTCAGTATATCGTAGGGCAATAAAATGTATTTTATATACATCGGAGATTACTGAATGTTACCCTGCACAGTTTTAGCAGGGAGTGTGATGCTGTCTCGTCAAATCATGTGTACACTGATAATTTTAGAGGTTCACTATCAATCATTTGATTACATTGTACTGTACATCATGAAGGGCAATATTTCATGTCTTCAAAGAAGAATGTAAGTAGATTTTGTTTGATAAATCTAATTTGTGAATGCAAAGTTGATGCTATTTAAATTTTAGAATGGGAGACATAAAAAATCCAGAGATTATATTAAAATTCTGGGCACACAGCAGATTATTTCCAATCTATTGAAGATTGCTGAACATTTTCCAATATATGTAAGCATGTGTGCTTCCTGTGGTTTATGTGAAAGAATGTCTGCTGTTTTATTTATTCCAATCAAAAGACCAAATTGTTTTTAAAATAGAAACTATAAACAATGTCAATTTGTCTGTAAAGCCTCAAGTGCGATTTGTCTGTGAATAAATTTGGTTAATATCATCCTTGGCAATGGTTGAAAATGTAACAATTCTCCAGCATGTGTTTTTTTTAAACTGCAAAGGAGGAAGCTCTAACTGTACAGAATGTGATGATTATTTAATGGCTGCATGTTTATCAATAAAACCAATTTATAACTTAGACTCTATTCAAACAAATACACGACAGCAAAATCTTCTACCTATCAATCTTTCTATGAAAGTACAGTATTGGTATAATTGTGAAACAAAACTTTGATCTTAATTTTAGCTTTGATGAGTGCTTTGCTAATTAGACTCATCATCTGTGTGTCATCAGAAAAATGAAAATATCCTCCCCATCGCCACATCTTTTCCCTGATCTCCATTTAGTGTCTGGATTTGGCAGATATAAGTATCTAGCACATTTTTGGTTGGAGTGAAGGAAGGACATAAGTACAAAAGGTGTAATCAAATTGAGCATGAAAATACACCTGAACATTGCTGAACACTTCCATGGGATTTTTCAACATTTACAGAAACAATGTAATTTCATATTTCCACAAATTCCAGTAAGGTTATCAATTTGAATGATTTGCATTTGCATCTTAATGTGCATCATTGATTGTATGAATACAAAACGCTGGAAAATGCAGATGCTGGAAATCTGAAACAAACACAGAGAAGGCTGGAGATACTCAACAGGTCTGGCAGTCTCTGTGGACAGAAAAACAAGAATTAACGTTTCAAGTCTAGTGTGACTCTTCAAAACATTAATACTGTTTAATGGTATATGCTTATATTTTGACAGCTTTGCCTTTAAAAATGCATTGAACTGAATGGTAGTATTATAACTTGCATTTCTTTTGTGAAGCCGTTATTATTTAACTGTGGTTGGTCTTCTGAGTGGCAGTGTTTTATGAATATTATTTTAGAATCAACCAGTCCATTTCTCTTAGTCTAACTCTCACATTTTGAAGACTTAGCATTGTGCAGCAGGAACTGGTCATTTGAGCATCCAAGCCTGCCTCACCATTTGATAAGATCATGCCTCGTCTTTTTGTGGTCTTGACTGTACCTTCCTGTCACTCTCTCTCTCATCACTCACCCACCTACCCCCACCACCAAGTAATCTTCAACTGCCCCCCTTCTCTTGTTCTTGTAAGTTATATCTAACTTAACCTTGAATATATTCAAGGACCCAGCCTCCAATACTTGCTGAGGAAAGGAATTCCACACACTAACAATCCTCAGAGAAAACAAACTCCCCGCACCTCTAGGCTATAGTAGGAACTGCAGATGCTGGAGTCAGAGACAACACAGTGTAGAGCTGCGTGAACACAGCAAGCCAGACAGCATCAGAGGAGCAGGAAAGTTGACATTTCAGGTCAGGACCCTTCTTCAGAAATGTGGGAGGGAAAGGGAGTTGGGAAATAAATAGAGAGAGGAGGGGTGGGGCTGGGGAATGTAGGTGGGATGGTGGTAGGTGAGTGCAGGTAGGGAGTGGTGAGGATTGGTCTGTGAGTTGGGTGGGGTGAATGCGTGGGAGAGCAGACTGACGGGTTGTGTCGGGTCAAGGAGGGAGGATAGGTAGGGCTGGCAAAGGCAGGTGGGATGGTGATTGGTTAGATGCAGATGGCGTAGTGGGGGTTAGTCGGTGGATAGGTGGGGAAGAAGATGGACAGGTTGTGTCAGGTCAAGGAGGTGGGGATGAGAGCGAGGTTTGGACCCGGGATGAGGCCGGGAATGGGGAGATTTTAAAACTGGTGAATTCCACGCTTAGGCCATCGGGCTGTAGGCTCCCGAGGCGGACAGTGTCTTGTGACACTGGAGGAGGCCCAGGATGGACATGTCGCCCAGGGAGGGGGAGTTAAAATGGTTGGCAACTGGAAGGTGTTATCGTTCATCTTGTACAGAGTGCAGATGCTCTATGAAATGGTCCCCCGAGTATGTGCTTCGTCTCACTGATGTAGAGGAGGCCACGTTGGGAGCAACGGATACAGTAGACCAAGATGGAGGATGTACAAGTGACCCCCTGTCGGATATGAAAGGTTTGCTTTGAGCCTTGAAAGGAGGTGAGGGGGGAGGTGTAGCACTTCCTGCGGTTGCAGGGAAAGGTGCTGGGTGTGGTGGGGTTAGTGGGGAGTGTGGAGCAGTTGAGCGAGTCGCAGAGTGAGCAGTCCTTACCAACAGCCAGTAGGGCTGGGAAGGGAAATATCTCTTTGGTTGTGGGGTCAGAATGCAGGTGGTGGAGAATGACATGCTGGATGCGGAGGTTGGTGAGGTGATATGTGAGGACAATAGGGATTCTGTCTTTTTTTGTGGGGGGGAGGGGGTTGAGGGCAGAAGTGCAGGAAATGTAAGAGATGCAGTTGAGGGCATTTTTGATCACTAGAGGGGGGACGTTGCGGTCCTTGAACTAGGAGGACATCTGGGATGTCCAGGAATGGAATGCTCCATCTTGGGAGCAGATGCGGCGGAGGCAGAGGAATTGGGAATAGGGGATTGCATTCTTGCAGGAGGATGGGTGAGAGGAGGTATAGCCCAGCTAGCTGTGGGAGTCGGTTGGCTTGAAATAGATGTTGGTGTTGAGGTAGTTACCAGAGATGGAAATGGAGAGGTCCAGGAAGGGGAGGGAGGTATTGGAGATGGTCCAGGTGAACTTAAGGTTGGGCTGAAAGGTGTTTGTAAAGTTGATGAACTGTTCAAGCTCCTCATGGGAGCGCGAGGCAGCACTGATACAGTCATCGATGTAGCGGAGGAAGAAGTGGGGGATCGTGCCGGTGTAGCAGCAGAAAAGGGACTGTTCCACATATCCTACGAAGAGGTAGGCGTAGCTTGGGCCCATGCGGGTGCCCATGGCTGCCACCTCCTCCCAACTTTCTACTTTATTTGAGTAACATCCTATTCTTAAACAGCGTTCTCAGGTTCTGGTTTCTTTGTTAAGAGCAGTACAGCCTCCTAATATCCTATCGAGTCCACTCAGATCGCCCCTCATTCTTCTAAACAACAGATATGTGTGTCATATAAGGACCAATCATAATTTTTTTTTTTACTTTATAATGATCCATTGTGTCAGCTCCACTTGAACTAGCAGGAAATCTTGATATTTCCTTGTTCCATATAGAGTATCAGCCACACTCGGATACAAGATGCACCCAGTTTAAGGGAGTCTGATGTTTATCCATACCGAGCAGAGAGGAAAAGGGAAATAGGGTTTCCCTGTTCTTAAACGCCTTTGGTAGAATACCTCCTGAGGTTTGGTAAAAGTGGATTGGGGATCTGGCATTTGGTAGCTGGAGTTTACTCAATACTGAGCCCAAAACATTGGCACTGGCTTGGCCATATTCATCGAATGAATAATAGCCATGATATCCAAAGATTTTCCTTCAGTTCAGTGAAATATGTTTTAGTTCATAACAAGTCGGGGTTTGCCTTGGTGCTGGGTAGGAGTGGAAGTATTTCTGAAAGCAGCTGTATCAACGAAAATCAACATGGCAACTGTGATCTTTTGCAAGGGTGGTCAAGCTGATAAAGTTGAGGAACCAAATCATTGATCTTTCTAAGTAAATGATGTATGGATAGGAGAAATATGATAAAAGTTTGACACAATGTAGATATGCCTTTTTCTCTTTTTTTGGTGTTTTAATTTTTAACTGAGGATTTTATCCTGATCAAGAATATACAAAGGAACATCCTGCACAAAATGAAAAAAATGTTTAAACTTTAAAAGAATCCTTTTGTATGGGAGTAAAATGTGGTTTTGGACCTGACACTGATTAAGTGGAGTTGTTGGCTCACTGGAATCAAGATTGGATGCTGTAATTGTTGCCATTGCCATAGCTAATCTCCCATTCGATAACGTGAAACAGTGATGAAGTGTAGCTGATAGATTTGAGTCTCAGCCAGAATCTTCCTCCTCTTTTTACTTCTATAGGAAAGCAGAGGCCATTTCAGCATGAGATCTTGGATAACCACATTAATTAAGAACACAGTGACTTGTTCCAGAGAAAATTAGTTGTGACTTGATTTTAAACAATAATGTATTCATGCAATTTTAACGAAGGATCTGATAAGGCGAAACTTTAAATCGAGTGTTGTTGCTGTTTTCCCCATAAACCCTAAATGATCACTTCATTTCTCTGTCTCATAATCACTTGCACTTTGGCACTTTTTTTGGCAATGAATACAAGACAAAGACAGAAACAAATATACTCGGGCAGAGCTTTTCAAATATATGATGTTCACTTTCCTCAGTCGGGGCAGAGAGAAAGCTGAACTTTTGGAGCTGCCATCTTTTTCAGACAAGACGTTTAACTGAGGCCCCCATCCTTCTGCTTTGTTGAATGTAAATCAAAAGCTCATAGCATTGTTTTGAAGAAGAGAGGAATTATCCTGCTGTTCTGGCCTGAATTTGTGTCATAATCAGCATCAGAAAAGATAGATTATTTGTGGGAGCTTGCTGTACACAATTTTGTTGCCACATTTCCTACAACAGTTAGACAGTGACCGCATGTCGAAAGTACTTGGCTGTAAAACACTTTGAGATGATCCAAAGTGGTAAAAAGTACTATATAAATGCAAGTATTTACTGAGGAAAAACCTGCTTAAAAAAAATCATTTCAGTTTTTTTGTGGAATCAATTCTCAAAAAAATTTGAAGCAGCTGTAGATTCACACAGTGCAGAAACAGATCCTTTGGTCCAACCAATCCATGAAGAACATAATCCCAAACTAAACTAGTCCCACCTGCCTACTCCTGGCCAAACCTTTCCTATTCATGTACTTATTTAAGTGTATTTTAAATGTAACTGTACCCATGTCCACCACTTCTGCAAGTGCATTCCACACACGCAACACTCTCTGTGTAAACAAATTTTCCCCTTGTGTCTTTTTTAAATCTCTCTCCTCTCACCTTAAAAATATGCCCCCTAGTTTTTAAGTCCTCTATCCTAGGGAAAAGACACATACCATTAACTCTATCTGTACCCTTCATGATTTTATAAACCTCTGTAAGGTCACTGCCTGGAAACGTTGTGGAGGCAGGTTCAATTAGGCATTTAAGAGGGCATTGGATGTTTATTTAGATTGAACTGGTGTTGAGTGATGTGGGAAAAAGACAGGAGATTGGCACTAGGTGATAGAACTGGCACAGGTATAATGAGCAGATGGCCTCCTCCTGCAC